TCGTCTTTAACGTGTGTGGGGTTTACAGCATGAGCCGAAGGCGAGTGATGTAACCACACACGTTAAGGACGAAATTTCCCAACAAGTACTGAACAAAATTTTATGTCACGAAGCCTGAAACCGGCTGAATTAGACACGAGACGCGAAACGTCGAGGGTGTAATCCAGCCGGTTTCAGGCATGAGTGGCATAATAATATTTACTCGACGCTTCGCGTCTCGTGTCTAATTCACCTGGTTTCAGGCTTCGTGACATAAAATTTTGTTCAGTACTTGTTGGGAAATTTCGTCCTTAACGTGTGTGGTTACATCACTCGCCTTCGGCTCATGCTGTAAACCCCACACACGTTAAAGACGATATTGCCCCACACGTGCTGAAATATACTATTTTGACACTGTTGCTACGTTCACCTCGTGCCGTAATGTGCCTTTCTTATTTTTTATTTGGTTTTACTAATCGACAATTATTTTACTAATCGACAATTGGTATCAATGCTGACCCCTTTTTTTTGATAAATAAATAATCACCCATCAACGACTATCAATGAATTAGTAAATTATAATCAGAATGAAAAATTAACCGATTAATGTATCAACTGTTAATCCTGTTTGATTTTTTTATCAATTATTCAAAGAGGAAGTAATTGAATCTGGGAATTTCTGATTAACCCTGATGATGATGAATTTCGGATTTAAAAAAAATCAATTATTTAGTCAATGAATCATTTCTATGGAGAGATTTTTAATTATTTACCCAACCATCAATTGAAGACTATAATTATGCAATATAACGATCAATTTTCAATTATTGCAAGACCATTTTCGATGCTTAAAACAATTCGTGATCGAAACGAAATAAACTATCGTTAAAGAATTGACGCGAGGAATTTTTTGATTATTTCATTATTGGATAATTATCGCTGCATATTACAAAGTTATCCAATAATTCAAACCGTGCAAAAATTTATCAATTCTAAGACTTCATCGTGGGAAAAAAACCCCTGGACCGATTCATTCCAGTGATATTCTGATATCGTTAATCACAATTACATAATTTATTCGTGAAAAATCCTTGTCTGAGAAATTTTCATTTTTTTTTCCAGGACACTTTGGAAAAACCACTGGAGGGATTCACTTCAAAATGAAATCAGGTCTAAATTACATGAAGACCTTCCGATTGTGTTATCGATCATCTTGATCGCACAATTCATTCGGAAGAAATTGTCACACCCACACAATAGGTATTTCGTTCTGATGGGTTTAAAAAAGTTTTAAACACCCTAAAACATGGAGAAATGGTAAAAAAATCTAATGATTCATTTTTGAGGTGATTACAGTAACTACTCGGTAGATTGGGAAGTTGTAAATGGTTAATTTTAATGGGCGATTAAATGGACAATTAAATAATCAGTGGTTGAAATTAACCATTGATCAGTTTACTAATCATAATAATAAATAATTAATTGTTGAAATAACCAATTAATTCATATTTAATAACTTTGTAATTGAATGAACAATTATCAAAATAATTAGGAAGTGTACGTTATTAATTATTTACGGATTGAAGAATCGATCAGTTTTTTGTGATGGTTGAGAATTAATCCGACAATCAGATAATTGGCTCTCCTGATTAATGATTATTTGATCAACAAATTAATTTGCGGTTCTCAGTCATGTATGAAATGATAATAGTAATTACTGTAGGCCTGTCATTTGAGTTAATGAGGCAAATAATTATGCAGTTAGCTCCTATTAGGGTCCACGACTCAGTTTTTACCTCAGAGTTCAGGTAGTACAGCCCTGGATATTTCACGAAAATAATCTTTTCAGTCTTCTAGCGCCATCAGGTAACGGAAATTATTACTGACAATTTTATTCTATAGGTAATAAATGTATTCGCTTCGTACAATACCGATGCTGGTTTATCGGCTTGGCGCGTTGTGGACACTTCGTTCTTGTGGACAGTTTCGCCCAAAGAGGATTGACTAAAGTAGAGGCTCAGAACTCGGGGTTAGACTGACCCCAAGCCAAAAGTAGTTCGACCCCAACGGAGGGATGCCGCCACGGTCGAATCTGACGGCTGGGCGAACTGCCTGTGCGGGTAACTCGGCAGTAGTAGTGTTTCTCGATCTTCCAAAAAAGATCGATTTTTCGGATCGATCCGAATCGGCTCATAGAGGATCGATTCTAGATCGGATCGAGCCCTAAAAAATCGATCCATAGAAGATCGATCTTTCGATTTTTTCTCCTGCTATCTCCCCCAAAATAAATAAAAAATCACAATAAATTATCTTTTCAAGTTTGAAGGAGTATGAAAAAATCTACAAAAAAACCTTTCATTTGGAAGCAAGAATAAAACATCAATATCGAGGAACAGATATAAAACGAAGATTTATTGAGTAAAATATCTATCGTAAACAAATGGAACAGAAATGAAACTTGGAAGAAAAATGAGACAAAAATGAAATTTGGATACTTTTTCCGTCCAGTATCAGAAAAAAAAAATTGAACTTATCATATTATATCTATATTTCACAAACGAAAGTACTCAGTTACCCTCATATGAATAATTTGTAATATCCGTCTTAAATAATTTTCAAATTTTTATAAATTTCCCATACTCAAAATAAATTATTATTTTATTCCTAAAACACGTTAAAACGCCCGAACGTTTCCAACGTTCCAACGAACTTAATAAATAATTGGATGAATAATATGGAATAACTTACTAGCTTTTATACACTTCATGATGGTAAAAACAGTTTAACATCAAACAAAACTCTGCTGACTCTCCTCTAGGTGACAAAACGCGCCAAAATATGCACGTTAAGATGGCGTTGGGGTTTGGGAAAGGTATAATGAGGGAAAAATTTGAAAAAGGGACGTTGACGTAAATAATCGATCACAAATATACAAAGTTTCAAGTGATAGGAGATATTTATTGTTAGATTTGTAATGTTAGGATATATTCATTCTTAGATTTGTAAAATCACACTGACAAATCAGTCGAGCTCAGTTGAGTTTTGTCATTGTTCCTCCTTCGATTTCAAGCCATCAAGCTCACAGGCTCACTGAAGAACGAGAAAAAAATTATCATTTCAGAAATAATCTTATAAATCATCAGCAATTAATTCCAAACACTTACTAAGAAATCCCATCGATAGAACGATAGAATATTTCAATTTCATTATCAGTGTTTATCACGCGACCGCTGTCAATCAAATCACGAAGGAATTTATCCACGAAACCTCTATCATCTGAAATTATTTTTTAAATTGCATGATTCAATCATTTCGGATTTCATGTAAAATCGTATTACAAATGATAAGGTCATACTCAATAGAAGAAGGATTCAAATTCAATCCGTCAATTCGGTAAGGATCCTGCATGTTTATCTGGAGATAAATCGAGAAATTTCTCCTCAACCCTTGAGCATGTGCTGAAATTATGAAATGAAATTATTAATAAAATTTCTAGAGCATTTCGAAGTTGTATCAAATTCTTATTGCCACATATACACCTGTTACAGTAATATTTTCCATGATTACTTGTTCCAACAAGTTTATCCCAGACAGATAATTACCTGATTTAGAGGTTAAAACCCTGATTTAGAGGTTAAAACACTATTCAGTATCACCTAGATTTTCGACCGTTTAGACTATATCTATCGAATGATGACGTGAATTTCTTAAGACTTTATTTTCATTAATGAAAGCTTCCGATTTTTCCACTTAATTTAATTTCTTTTAATTTTAGTTTTTTCGACGAGTAGAGACCAAACACTGATCGATCTCGAAAGAAAATGATCGATCCGACCACTTAATCGACTTAAAAGGATCGATCCGAAAAATCGAAGATCGACTCTTCATAAATCGAGTCAAGAAAGATCGATCCTTGATCGAGAAACACTAGGCAGTAGCAGTCCCGCTGTCACAGGGATAGTTTCGCAGTGGAATCTGTGTGCTCCTCGTCCTCAGCATGTTCTTAATGTTTTTCAGGTGATTCATTTGCTGGCTAATTAATATTAAGGAATGACACACAGAGGGTGTAATGGAGAATTAAATTCCCCATCAATCGATCCCCGTTGCATCCCTTAATCTCTGTAACAAAAAAATACAAACTACGACAAAGTCATGGGCCAGTGAGAAAAACAATTTTGTTCTCGGCGCACAGTGACTTTTCACCATTCGCTCGCGAATTAAAAATTCACTTCTGCCCTCCTAATTGAGATTAAGGGATGGAAAGAGAGTAGTTCGACGGAGAATTAAATTCCCCACCAACTGACCCTCTTTCATCCCTTAATTTCTGTGAAAAATGGAAGAAACTGTCATGGAAATAACAGCGCAGTAAGAAAAATAATTGTTTTGCGGCGCACAGTGACTCCCGGTAATTAAAAATTCAATTCTCCCCTCCTAATTGAGATTAAGGCATGAAAAAAGAGCGGTTCGACGCAGAATTAAATTTTTCATTAATTAACCCTCTTTCATCCCTTCATCTTTGTAACAAAAAATTAAAAACTGCCATGAAAGTCAGGGGCCAGTAAGAAAAATAATTGTTTTGCGGCGCACAGTGACTCCCGGTAATTAAAAATTCACCTCTCCCTTCCTAATTGAGATTAAGGGATGAAAAAAGGGCAGTTCGACGGAGAATTAAATTTTTCATCAATTAACCCTCTTTCATCCCTTCATCTTTGTAACAAAAAATTAAAAACTGCCATGAAAGTCAGGGGCCAGTAAGAAAAATAATTGTTTTGCGGCGCACAGTGACTCCCGGTAATTAAAAATTCACCTCTCCCTTCCTAATTGAGATTAAGGGATGAAAAAAGGGCAGTTCGACGGAGAATTAAATTTTTCATCAATTAACCCTCTTTCATCCCTTCATCTTTGTAACAAAAAATTAAAAACTGCCATGAAAGTCAGGGGCCAGTAAGAAAAATAATTGTTTTGCGGCGCACAGTGACTCCCGGTAATTAAAAATTCACCTCTCCCTTCCTAATTGAGATTAAGGGATGAAAAAAGGGCAGTTCGACGGAGAATTAAATTTTTCATCAATTAACCCTCTTTCATCCCTTCATCTTTGTAACAAAAAATTAAAAACTGCCATGAAAGTCAGGGGCCAGTAAGAAAAATAATTGTTTTGCGGCGCACAGTGACTCCCGGTAATTAAAAATTCACCTCTCCCTTCCTAATTGAGATTAAGGGATGAAAAAAGGGCAGTTCGACGGAGAATTAAATTTTTCATTAATTAACCCTCTTTCATCCCTTAATCTTTGTAACAGAAAATTAAAAACTGCCATTAAAGTCAGGGGCCAGTAAGAAAAATAATTTATTCGCGGCGCACACTGACTATTCACCATTCGCCCGGTAATTAAAAATTCACTTCTCCCCTCATAATTGAGATTAAGGGATGAAAAAAGAGCGGTTCGATGGAGAATTAAATTTTTCATTAATTAACCCTCTTTCATCCCTT